GGAGCCTTTAAAACATTGCTTTTCATGGCCGGGGCCGGGATACAGGTCAAGTGAAGGAGGGGCAATGGGTCTTCACTGACGCCGACCCCCGCTTCGGGGTCGGCGGATAACCTTATATAACCCTTATATTCCCTTTAAAGGTACCCCTAATTTTGGGAAATCAGCGCATGTGCTGAAGTCGTTGGGTTCAGTCGCAGAGTTGTTGCCTGAAGGCTGTTGGTTGTAAATACTTATACAATAATATACAATAATATACAATAATATACAACAATATACAATAATATACAAGAATCTGTTACAATATACTATAATAGATTAAATTCACCGCTGAAAGAGACAAGCTTTGATTGGGTTCTGGCAACCAGGGTTATAACCCTAATATAACCCCAATAAAACCCTCATATAACCCCAATATCAAACCAATATTACCCAAAAATTACCTGGTTTCTGGCAACCAGGGTGTTTAAGCTGCTTGGAGATTCCATCGATCATCGCGGTTTAGGGTTTAGGTCTGGTCTTTCTTCACAGCAGAAGTAGGTTATCTCAACCATCCAGGTAACGCTGGATAGCCACTTCTCCTAACCTGCAATGGCCCTAAACTCGAAACCTTGAACCCTAACCCCAAAACCCTAAATCCCCAACCCTAAGCGCTCAACCCTAAGCCCTAAGCCGTAAACGGCTCTAAACCCTAAATCCTAAACTAAGGCCAACCCAGACCTTCGGCTAGGCAAGTTTTGAAAAATCTTTAATCCCAATATAATCCCAATATAATCCCAATATAAGCCCAATATAACCCTAATATAACCTTAATATAACCCCAATATAGCCCCAATATAACCCTAATATGACCCCAATAGTACCCCAGTATAACCTTCATATAACCCCAATGTTACCCAATATTATCCTAATATTGCCCTAGTAGAACCGCAATGTTACCCCAATATTGTTGTGTCCTTGCAGTTTCTGTGCTCCCGGGGTTCTCCCGGCGTTCTTCGCTTTTTTTTTTCTCGTCAGGTCTATGGATCCATAAGAGCTATAGTGTAAGGGGGCTATATAGGGAATTATGTAGGGGACTACTATAGGGGATACTGATGGGGGATTCTACGAGTTTAGACTATAGCCCATAAGGCTTCAACCTCTCTAGACCTACATCTATCCCAGTTTGTAAGGTACGAATTTGGAGTTTCCCAAGAGGATGGGTCCTTGCTGGGAGGTTCGTGATGAATAGGGGCCCACGTGCGTTGAAGGCCCTCGGGGTGAACCTATGTTGGAACTCAAGGCTCTTAACGTACTGGGAATAGAACCCCTATAGAATATATAGTCCCCTTAAGTAGATAGAATATGGCTCTGGTTATATTATAATAAGATCCCCCATATACCGCACATTCTATCTACTTAAGGGGGACTATATTCCCTTATTCCCTACTAAGACCCACTAAGCTTACTGGGGTTAGCAACCCAAAGCCCGGGCGTGCCAATTGTGGGGCCGGGCCTGCGAAGACAAAAAGCTACTCCCCAAAGCCGCAAAATCCTAAAGCCACTCCTTAATGGTTCTTAGTAGGGAATATGTTCTATAGGGATTGTATAGGGATTCCATTCGCTCATTCTCTTCCAACCCTAAGTAAGACTTGCAAATCTTCCAAGCAAAGCGTGCCGACAGGCTTTCAACTACTTGCCCCCTTCTTCTTTGACACCATAGCCTCTGCATTCTCTCTGTCAGGGGATCTACGGGGGGGAATCGGAGAAATACACATCCTCAAGACCTTGCGAAGGGTTGCCTCAACCGAAAACTGCCAGTGTTGGCTGTGAAGTCGCAGCTAGCAGTCTGAACAATCACGAATCTTGTCAATGAATAACCTTGGTACCAGCGTAAAATATAACCCCAAAGCCTCATTCTAATTTGGGAGGCTCCTACCCCTAAACCCGAAACCCCAAGCCCTAAACCCTAAACCCTAAACTCTAAAGCTTAAACCCTAAATCTTACACTCCAAGGACTCGTGCCTGCGAGAAAAGGTCAACCAAAAAAAAAACTAAACTCTAAACCGAAATTCCTAAACTCTAAATCCTAAACCGCTGCTTAGGTGGCCTTTGGTGGTGAGGATCCTCGTCTGAAGTTTGAGGGGCCTTGGGCTTTCGATTCAGGGTTGCCGGAGGGCAAGCAGGCATGTTGTTGTCTGCAGTTTAAGGTGTTAGGGTCTAGGGTTTAAGGTTTAGCGTTTAGGGTTGAGGGTTCAGGGTTTAGGGTGATTAGGCTTGGGATGTAGGCCTTTAGTGTTCAAATGGACTTTAAAACAGCCCGAACTCATGGGAAGTCTGCCAGGCAATACCCTAAACCCAAAACCGGTTTAGGGTTCAGGGTTTAGGGTTTAGGGTGCATTCTCGCAAGAAACTGCCCGCCATGTCTAGGCTCATCCTGCTCGTGACATCTTATGACGAGAGATAGGTTTAGCCATGAGTTTCTCAGTAGATAGGGTTTAGAGTTCAGGGTTGAGGGTTTAGGCTTTGTGGAATTATAGCAGACTGTTCATTGCCTCATAGAGTGCGTCAACCAAAACCCACCACAGCACATCCTTGACCTCAGAAAGCTTCTCACTCAGAGACCTCTGGCCGCAATGCTGCCCTGAACCGTAGCTCCCTAAACTCCAAACCCACACTAAACCCTAACCCTAAGCCCTTAGACCTTGAAAC